GAGTCCTCCCAATCATAGTCTTTGATGGGCATTGGGGTACGGTGACCACACTCCGACTGTGGTGGAAATGGCCAGCCAGCCAAAAAAAAAAAAATTACGGTAAAATAAAATGTACAACACTTGACATACACTGTATTTTACATGTGTAATATGCAAACTATTGATTTCTATTAAAACAAAATGCTTGATAATTACCAAAATGAAGTCATGGAAGCGGGTTTTGGTGTAGTGACGCAGGAACAGGTATCTGGCAAAGTACTGGTGAAATTACTGTGGACGCATGCCAGAACGCTTCGCCCAATCCTTGACATCCCTCCATAAACGCTCGATGGTCTGCGTGTGGATCTTGGCGTTGTCAGGGTCAACATAATTCTCACTATGGTTTATCACATAGTGAGAATATCAAAGATCCTGAAGCATGCTGTATGCGCCCCAACTGTCACTATAAATAATACTTCCTTCCCGGATGTACCGCTGGACGAGTGGTATTAATGTAGCGGCAGTTCTGTCCTGTTCCTCAGGATCTACCAATGGAACCATAAACATCTTAGACTCCTGCTCAATCCCACCATAGACCCATACCTGATGAAACGTCCTCCCCCTGCGATACTTCCACCTCACCAACAGGGTTTCGTCAATCTCAACTTCCACCCCTGGCCCGCCGATGGGTTCTTGCTTCCCGAGCCTGAATTCCGTCACTTCGAAGCGAAAGCTTCTCCAGTTTATCGACGTCTTTGATATGTGGAGGCACTCTATCACTGTCCTGTGGTCCCATGTGTGATGTAGGAAGTGATTGGTGATCAAAAGCAGCTTCCACAGCGAAATTCTTGAGTTATCAAGAAATGTGCCCTCATAGTGCCCGGCATTAGAAAATATTAAAAGTACAGTTCTCTTCGGAACATTTTTTTTTATGATATTGGTTAGTAATATATCGTACAACAATATACGACATTTATTAGTAGTTAATATATCCGTTACATACCATACCTATAAGAGCATTGCCGCCGTTTAGTTTTGCTTACTCTTGTCCACCTACCGCAATATGAAGTTGGCCGGTCCTCCCAGAGTTTACATGGTAGATTGCAGTGAGGGCACTCCACAGATGTTAGCAAGACTCCATGGTGAAGAAGAAATGCTTTTGCCCTTCCATTATGATGTATAAAATCATGATTAATTTGGAAATAATTGGTATCGCAACCACTTCTCAACCCACCTACAGGGATACCTTCCTGTTGGCTCGCCATGATGAAAATGAATGAATGTGACATTCGGAACCTTTGCCATGAATTCTGGCTCATGCTTTTATTATACTTTTATGTCTTAGGTAATTATTCACACAATTCATAACAATAACCTCGTGTGCATGCACATTTTCATCGGGAGATTTGATATGCTGTGCGAAGCCATTCACTGAGAAATGCCTCTGGTAAAAAGCTTCATTTTAAGTGCTGCATTGAGTCTGGGAATTCGATCGGATGCCATCGCTGTCCGTGGCTTTGTGCCGCCTTGTTCACCTCTGCAAATCTGTCAGCAAGCAAATGGAATACATTAGTTGATATAGGTACACTTATCACCTTTGGGTATCTGGATATAACAGTAATGTGTATAAAAGAAAAGCAATGTGAATCAACTCATACATACATACCTATTTGTCTTCCACTATGAAGTCGACCAACTCGTCGGTGATGAATTATCAATACTCTGCCAGTGTTGTCGAGTCTTCGTCCAGGTCAACCTTGACACCAAGGTTTACCAGAAAAACTGTACTTTCTGGGTACATTCTCCCCCCTCCACCATCTAAAAAGTCTGGGGTCCCTGGAGCATTGGTATTCCATGACTTGATATCTGCAGATAGTGGCTCATCACTGTCGAGTGTCAAGTCCAATGATGGTTCGTTATGTGAGAAAGAGTCTAGGTCATCGTCACTTGAGGCCTCATAATCTGTCCGAGTCTGAGTCATCACTGGGGATTACCTCATCCCCAGTGCCATCGTCCTCCGAGGAGCTTGACTCTGACAAAAGATATGTCAAGGTTGACAGCCTCGGCTGGTGGCGGGAGCAAGGGCTAGAGCCAAGGTGAGAGCCGGGCTATGTAACAGGCAAACATGGCAAATGTGGGGAATTGGGTAACTACAGTTGTTTAAATACACACAATGTCAAATAGGTGGAGTATTATTATTTTGCTATTGCCTTGTATTTCCATAACTCTGCTATATATAGCTTTTCTGGCTTTACTATTGTATTGATGATGGTAGTGGGTATGAAGCAAACAACAGGAATCTATCAAATAAAATTGATAGGTAAAAGAAGTGCTATAATATGATTGATCGAATGGTTATAGAAATGCATAAATCTTTATAAAATGCATCTGCAGGTTTATAAAATATTGACTTTAATCTGATAATTCATACACCTTTTAGGAATTAACTAATTAGTCATACTGAGGAGGAGCTTCTTTTTTTTACAGAATGATCTAACAGACCTATATGGGTCCCTTAACTTAAGTGGTGTAGAACAGGATGAAAACAACTTAGAAGCAATCATGCGTATCAATTCTTTCCTCAACAACTCCCTAGATCTCCGAAACCTCTCATCAGAAAATGCTCACAAGAATTCCATTGGTTTGTATCTTTATCACTTAACAGTTATTGATTTATATTGAATGCACATATTATCAAAAGTTTGATGGCCTACCTATTTTCAGATGCCATGTTAACTGAGTTAATGAATGGAACAGAAGGAAGTGTGGGAGATCTAGGGCCAGTTGGGCCTAAAAAGAATGGTCAGGTAAGAATTTTGAAAATTGATGGAATAGTCTGAGTAATCTAATTTGAATTTATAAGTTGTTATTACAGATGTCTATATTGACTTAGTTGTTTCTAAAGTGTTACGGTATCATTCACAGACTGGCAGTGCTGCTGTTGATCCAAGCATACCTCTAAGTCGTCTTCTAGCTCAGAGCTACAGCTACAGCTCGGATAGCTCCACTTCGCCACACACTCCACTCACTCCTCGCACTACCTCACAGGTTTGAACTTTTACTCTGCAAGGTTTCTCTCTCTCTCTCTCTCTCTCTCTCTCTCTCTCTCTCTCTCTCTCTCTCTCTCAAGAAAAGAAAAGAAAAGAAAAGAAAAGAAAAGAAAAGAAAAGAAAAGAAAAGAAAAGAAAAGAAAAGAAAAGAAAAGAAAAGAAAAGAAAAGAAAAGAAAAGAAAAGAAAAGAAAAGAAAAGAAAAGAAAAGAAAAGAAAAGAAAAGAAAAGAAAAGAAAAGAAAAGAAAAGAAAAGAAAAGAAAAGAAAAGAAAAGAAAAGAAAAGAAAAGAAAAGAAAAGAAAAGAAAAGAAAAGAAAAGAAAAGAAAAGAAAAGAAAAGAAAAGAAAAGAAAAGAAAAGAAAAGAAAAGAAAAGAAAAGAAAAGAAAAGAAAAGAAAAGAAAAGAAAAGAAAAGAAAAGAAAAGAAAAGAAAAGAAAAGAAAAGAAAAGAAAAGAAAAGAAAAGAAAAGAAAAGAAAAGAAAAGAAAAGAAAAGAAAAGAAAAGAAAAGAAAAGAAAAGAAAAGAAAAGAAAAGAAAAGAAAAGAAAAGAAAAGAAAAGAAAAGAAAAGAAAAGAAAAGAAAAGAAAAGAAAAGAAAAGAAAAGAAAAGAAAAGAAAAGAAAAGAAAAGAAAAGAAAAGAAAAGAAAAGAAAAGAAAAGAAAAGAAAAGAAAAGAAAAGAAAAGAAAAGAAAAGAAAAGAAAAGAAAAGAAAAGAAAAGAAAAGAAAAGAAAAGAAAAGAAAAGAAAAGAAAAGAAAAGAAAAGAAAAGAAAAGAAAAGAAAAGAAAAGAAAAGAAAAGAAAAGAAAAGAAAAGAAAAGAAAAGAAAAGAAAAGAAAAGAAAAGAAAAGAAAAGAAAAGAAAAGAAAAGAAAAGAAAAGAAAAGAAAAGAAAAGAAAAGAAAAGAAAAGAAAAGAAAAGAAAAGAAAAGAAAAGAAAAGAAAAGAAAAGAAAAGAAAAGAAAAGAAAAGAAAAGAAAAGAAAAGAAAAGAAAAGAAAAGAAAAGAAAAGAAAAGAAAAGAAAAGAAAAGAAAAGAAAAGAAAAGAAAAGAAAAGAAAAGAAAAGAAAAGAAAAGAAAAGAAAAGAAAAGAAAAGAAAAGAAAAGAAAAGAAAAGAAAAGAAAAGAAAAGAAAAGAAAAGAAAAGAAAAGAAAAGAAAAGAAAAGAAAAGAAAAGAAAAGAAAAGAAAAGAAAAGAAAAGAAAAGAAAAGAAAAGAAAAGAAAAGAAAAGAAAAGAAAAGAAAAGAAAAGAAAAGAAAAGAAAAGAAAAGAAAAGAAAAGAAAAGAAAAGAAAAGAAAAGAAAAGAAAAGAAAAGAAAAGAAAAGAAAAGAAAAGAAAAGAAAAGAAAAGAAAAGAAAAGAAAAGAAAAGAAAAGAAAAGAAAAGAAAAGAAAAGAAAAGAAAAGAAAAGAAAAGAAAAGAAAAGAAAAGAAAAGAAAAGAAAAGAAAAGAAAAGAAAAGAAAAGAAAAGAAAAGAAAAGAAAAGAAAAGAAAAGAAAAGAAAAGAAAAGAAAAGAAAAGAAAAGAAAAGAAAAGAAAAGAAAAGAAAAGAAAAGAAAAGAAAAGAAAAGAAAAGAAAAGAAAAGAAAAGAAAAGAAAAGAAAAGAAAAGAAAAGAAAAGAAAAGAAAAGAAAAGAAAAGAAAAGAAAAGAAAAGAAAAGAAAAGAAAAGAAAAGAAAAGAAAAGAAAAGAAAAGAAAAGAAAAGAAAAGAAAAGAAAAGAAAAGAAAAGAAAAGAAAAGAAAAGAAAAGAAAAGAAAAGAAAAGAAAAGAAAAGAAAAGAAAAGAAAAGAAAAGAAAAGAAAAGAAAAGAAAAGAAAAGAAAAGAAAAGAAAAGAAAAGAAAAGAAAAGAAAAGAAAAGAAAAGAAAAGAAAAGAAAAGAAAAGAAAAGAAAAGAAAACATCTCTCTCTCATTAATTCTGTTGCTTAATGTTTTGTAATTTTCAGGTGTGTGGGCGCAATAATGTCTTTAGCTACATGGATGAGAGCCCACATTCAAGTGGATCAAGTGTTTCACGACACTCCTTTAATTACTCACCAGGACCAACAAGCATTGCACACAGGATGAGAGCTTCCACTGCTAGGCAAGACCTCCCTCTCTCTCTCTATTCAGTCTTTATATGTATAGATAATGTAATCCTTCAGTTATGGTATTATAAATCTCTGCATCATACTGATTTGTGGCAACTCTCCAGCTGCTGGGCATGGGAGTCTGTTGCATATAGTAGAACTTCCTGCTCAACACTCTAGCACGTCGCCATGTGTGTAGTCATACCTGGCAGATCAAGTGGTTTGTTATGAAGGCTATACATGTGACCCGGCAGTAACTGGTTAAGAACCATACTGAGAAACTGAGACCCAATTTTCAGCTATTTGGAGCTCGTAGATTTCTTGTGTTAACCCATTCGTGACTGGTGTCATGTATCAGTGACATACCCACTGTAAGTTTACTTGTTTAATTGTTTTTAACCATAAATGGCTACACTTGTTGCGAGTACTGCCTGACTTGCCCGTTTACCCTTTTCTTTAATTTATGAAAATATTTTACATTATCTTCATTTGTTACTAATGTTTATAACATTATAGTAATTATAATGTTTATAATAAAAATAACCGTTGATATTCATAACACTAATAGAAAATAGATTTTCCTGCCAATTCAAGTAAAGATGAAATCAGGTAAGGCAGAACCATCTATGTGTAGACATATTTCACAAAAAATTTAAAAAATGATCACAGCATTTTACCCATTTTTTGTTATTTATACCGTCACAAATGGGTTAGTCTTTGGAGGGGTCTTTTTTACTACTAAAAGTAGGTATTGATAGTGAGATTATGAAAATTATTAAATTTTGTTGTATATAATAAAATTTAAGCCAATTTTTAAAAATTGGTTTCCAGTCCCTCATTTCACCCTTTCTTGTAGATCCCTAGAAAATCATCCTAGTGCTCGAAAAGTTGCACTTGGAGAAACAAGAAAGAAATTGACCTGCATCATCCAGTGCTCATATTTTAACCCCTTGGTGCCGGGTGACGCCGATCGGCGTGTAAACAAAGAGCTCGAAAGCTGGCGTGCAGCCGAACAAGCCGGCGGCGCACCAAAGCGCGGCGAGCCAGTGATTCGGGCTGATGTCCCCTACGCCGCCTTTGTTTGTTTAAGCGTAGTTTTTTTTTTTTTTTTTTTTTTTTTTTTTTTTTTTTTTTTTTTTTTTTTTTTTGTACACCCGGCGCCATTGGGTTAATGTAGCACAGCAAGAAATTAATTCCAAGTTCAGATACATTATATTACCTAGTAATCACTGCTAGTATCTTGCAGCAATACATAAAAAAAATTAGATTAGTGCTCCAGATTAATATGACAAAATTTATCTGTTATAATTTAAATTTTCTAGTGAACCTGGTAGCCCAACCTTGGAAGATGCAATCTTGATGGGGTGTCAGGACTCTGCTCCATTTCCCCATGAAGTGAGCTCGAGCAAAGCTGGCGATATCACAGCCATTGCTGATCTCGTGGTTTGTATTCTTGTCCCTATCTATTATGGTGTTAGATTACATACCATGTATATAATTGATTACATATGAAAAGGACAGATCACCGTTAGAGGATGTAAAGGTTTCCATTTCAGCAGTATTTGTAAGGGTTGTTTAACAAGTTTCTATTTCAGAGCTCACTGAACCTAGGTGCCAATGCTAGTGCTAACAATCAAGGAAATCACCCAACAGTCGGTGTAACTCGTCAAGGTCCACTTCTTAATGTAAATCAGCAACAGCTGTTGCCAAATGCTGCACTTTTCAATCTACAACAGCAACACCAAGTGGGTAATGTAAGCCAGCTGCAAGCAAACTTTAATAATAATTCTAGCATCAACCCACAAAATGCTTTGTCACAGGTACCACAAGGTGAGTGTTTTCCTCTCTATCCTTGTCCCTCTTTCTTCTGTCCTCTCACATTATTGTATTCTGACAAGTCCTATAGTATTAAATTTAAGTTTTGCAGATCCACCTTTAATTTTGACAGCTGTGCTTATTTTTTTGTATTTCACATTTTGTTTCTTATTGATTTCCTAATATCTGTAATTAGTCAACATTTTTATACTGCATATTTATGTAAGGAATAAACCACTTATTTCTTGTAAATTTTATTTTGTCTAGGTGTAGACTTGACAAGCCTAGCTCAGCTTCAAAATGCTTGGTTAACATCCCAGTTATTTCCGGGCTTGATGGATGGGACAAGTTTGTTGAGTGGGGAGCCAAGAGCACCAGGCCCTCTTGCCAGCTTGTTGGCCAACCCAACAGACCCTTACTCCATTGAAAAGGCAGCCAAGATGCACAGGAATGCTGCAGGTAGGGTCTGTTGGGATAGTTTTTCTTTTGTATTAAGCCATTGGATCTGGTTGCGTCACGGCAATCAAGCCCCCCCTAAAATTTGTGCATTAGGCTTGTGTGAACCGCTACTGGGTTCCTGGATGGCGGCTTGTAGGCCTGACGCATGCGAACACATGAAACAGGAAGATGAGCATGGACTTGCGTCCTCTATAGAGCTGGTACTCTTCGTCACCACTCACAAACATTACATTCCACACTCGTGCAGCTATGGGGAAAATGCGAAATTGCCAAATGAGTAAAACAAACCTCCTATTAGTCTTTTCCATCATCCTGCCTTCAGCCTAAATGCTCTCACAGCAAGTTCGTCTTGCCCGGCCTACAGCCAGATTTTCCCATGACAGCCTTGTCACCCACCCCTTGACCTGGATTTTTTTCTTGACATGGCCACATGTCGCCCAGATCCAAGGGTTAATATATCAAGGCCTTTAGAAATCCTCTTTCTTGCAGAGGAATAGTTTATCAAAACTTCATCTTTAGACCTACTGTAGAAACCAACCTTATGATGAATGTTCAAAAGTTATGTGGCTGTAAATACTGCAATGATAATAGTACCAGTATTTAAAATGTTAAAATGCAGCTGATCTCTCCCCTCCCCTCTTTCACATTAATACCAGGTGACAATGAACTCTGATTTTGACAGAATTTGCCTGTAATTGATCTTTTATACTTTTTTGGCACCAGGTAACTGTAGTCTCCTCAAGTTTTTGTGTGTGGAGGGGGGAGAGTAGGGTGGTTATGAGTTAGCTAGCTTATGTTGTATGTACACAAGTGAAGAAACTACCAAATGTTGTTAGAGCCTATATTGGGTTATTTCTCAGGAAGCACAAATGTGTAAGTGCCAACAGGTAAACTATGTATGCAGGTAATTAGCACCAGGTACACTTGCAATGACTTATTCTTCTTACAATCTTGCATACAGCATTTATATATACCTTCATGATTGTCCAAAGAACACTTTTATACCAATATCAGAAAAAATAAAAATCAGTGATTTATGAAAAAATATTGATATTTAAAAATGTGAGTTTTGTGTACATTTAGACATGAAATATTCATTCCATCAAGACTTGTTGGTACTGTGCTGTAGCTTTTGTATAAATTGTTGATATGGCAGAAGAATTCATTCATCTTGTCAACAGTCAGTGTGTTCCTCTGGGCTGTTGCTGCTATTACACTTGTGCCACATCTCTGGCACAAACTCATTATTTGGATCTTTGTCACCAGAGGGGGAATACCAGGATTGGTGCAGGTACACCATCTTATGAAGTTTGTCAGATTAGCTGCATGATATCACATTCCCTCTTTCTCTCTGCCTCGCTTTCTCTCCTCTTTTCCTGTCCATTTTTTATGGAATTGTTATAACCAGTTTCCACTTTGATTCTCCACTGTTGATTACCAGCAAGAGCTCTAGAATCGTTAATAAAGAAAACTACATAAAGTGAAAGATAAAAGATTAATGCCTTTATGCGTCTGGGCCTGACATCGTCTAGATGGAATCCTGCCTCTGATGGCCTCTTTCCATGTGACCAACTGGCATGCCCATTCTTCTGATTATTGTAGGCCATAACTGTACATCAACATGTAGAGCATGTTTTTGGAAACTACCACTTAGACCAGTTTATATCTCTCTAGGGAGTGATTGTTGTGGGTCTGAGTGCCCACAGGTATGGCTCAGTGTTTGGAATTGAAGTAGATCAATGGCTAAAGGATTAGGCAGTCCTGCATTTGCCGCTGCTGGTTGCTGTCTTCCTTTGGAGGGATGGGGAATGCTTCTTTTGGTTCTGGATTCTGTGGCTCAAGTACACGTGCACTGTGTAAGCGCACAGGGAATGAGGGGAGCCTACTGTCCTGGTGTGACCTGTCTTGGGGAAAGCGTGCTGAACTTCAGGTTGTGGGGTCGTGCTGTTACAAGTACTCCCCCTCCAGAGCCCGAGTGATATATCATGACATTTTACTCCTTGGGTTACTGGTGCCAACGCTCTGCATGGTGAGGTGATTGTGGCATCTGCCCCCACACACATTCCATCCTCAGTGGTGCTGTAGCATATGATGACAGTATCTAAGTATTGGGCATGATGGCAGGTACATGCAGTCACATGCAGGCAAATGTGACTTTTATTGAGGCTGATCCAATATTCAAATATATTGTATGCAAATACCTAAGTGTAAATTTTAAACCTTGTTGAATATGGCATGTTTCTTAGGTCATGGTAGCTGAGGGGTTTGGAATAGCAATCCTCAAATAAAACCAGTTCAGCCAAGTTGTTAATGTGTCATTCTTGTTAAGGCCTTTTACATTATTTAATAATCTTTTATTTGTAATTCCTAATAACGTCCTCAATCTAAAACACTTTGGCACTTTGAAACAGCTGTGTGTGATGCAACATGTACATGGAGTGGACAGCTGCCAACAAGAGTACACAAAAATCCTATATACTCCTGTAAGGTAAGCCAAATATTGCTATTTGAAAACAGTTTGTGTTTTTGTTTAGGTAAAGGAATTTTACTCTAGCTAGTATTATTTTCCTTTGTTATGAACATTTCACAATTTTGTGCTTCTGTTGGGATTGTTAAAATTACCATTATTTCCAAAATTTTTATTTTTAATTATTACAGCTCACTTTGCCTTCCTTTTGCTCTTGAGAAATCACTTTGCTATATTATTTGTGTTTAGTAGTTATGAGCTACATAAATGTTAACTCATCAGAAAGCTAAATTTCCCCTGGCCACTTGCCTTTGTGGCAGTAACTAATAACCTGTAAAGAAAAAGTACTCGTATTTTATCAACTAAACTTTCCTTGCGTCTTTTCATCCTAATTCATAATATTCTTTGGAATCTTCAGGTATTTTTGGGTGGTGTTCCCTGGGATGTCACAGAAGCAGCTTTAAAACAGACCTTTTTACACTTTGGTAATATCCAAGTGGAGTGGCCTGGTAAAGAGAACTCTGCAAACCCACCCCGTGGATATGTGTACATCCTCTTTGAACATGAAAAACAGGTCAGTTTACCATTATTATTTTTTGCATTTTGTATTGTAAGGGGACTTTCGTTTTGTCTGATTTATAAATATATATTTTACACCTTATTATTCTTGGCTCAAAGCGGTTCGTATGTGGGAATTAGGCTTACTTGAGTGGCAGATCACAGGGATGTTTGCTTTTTTGTCATTTTCCAATGTGTTGTATCCAGATGGTAATAGACTATTTTTCTTCCACAGACCCCCTTATTATTTCTCTAGGTAATCCATAACTTAGTGCAATAATGTGAATGAGTAATCTTACTATTTTTATATAAAAAAAAAAAAAAAAAATCAATTTTCAGTAATACAGCTGCACCAGTCATGGCAGGCACGAATATGATCATGAGCATGGAAATGGTGTCCTTCCTGAAGCCGATACTTTTCCAGTTATGGCTCGTGGAAGGTACATTCCACACTCCTTTATTGCTGGAAATAATGCAAAAGCTCCCCTCTAAGTGCCCACTGGGTCTAATTATCCAAAAACCTTTGCACATTTATGATGAATCATTCCTGTCACCCCAGCCTTCATTTGAATTCTTATAATGGCATGTTCCTGCCACGCTGGCCCTCGGCCATTTTTTTCCATGACATAATGGTTGTCATCCAGATCACGAGGGTTGATATATATGTACATATTTGTCCAGTGGTATACTTGCACCTAATACGGATATTAACCCATTGCCGCTGGGGAAAATGCTGTGCCTATTTTCTATACTTTTTTGTTAAATGTCTGCCCATAGATGGCTCTGTTAGCGCCTGATTTGAAATGGCGGGAAAAACCTATTTTTCACTAGTGCCATGAATATCGATGGCGTTATTTTTATTATAAACATCATAATTTTTATAATGTTTTTTAACATTAGTAACAGCAAAATAAGATAACGTAAAATATTTTGTAAATCAAAGAAAAAAGTGAACAGGCGAGACAGGCAGTACTCGTAACTGGCTCATTGGTGACTTAGTACAAGTGTAGCCATCTATGTGTAAAAACAATCCACCAAGTAATCTCAGTGGGCATGGCATGGCATGCCCATCAGCAATGGGTTAAAATGTGGCTCTAAGCCACTATGTTACCAGGGTGAGGAATGGTCAAGCTATCACATGTGATAGGCCATCATCCTGGAGTGAGTGAGCAAATATATTTACACACACACACACACACACACACACACACACACACACACACACACACACACACACACACACACACACACACACACACAATATATATATATAAACTCTGTATACTGCATGTAAAGGTGTATATGCATTTTGGGTGTGTGACATATATGTATACACACGCGTCCATGTGCACACGCACGCGTCCATGTGAAATAGTATTTCAAAAGTGACAACTGTTAAAAGTGATCTCAGGTAAATAATTTTTTTTGGGTGATAAGGGATGTGTGGAAATATGACTGTGGTTTCAAAACAAATGAGATTTTTAGATACAGATTATCAAGAAAGTTCGTCTGAAAAATAATAGATTACTTGCAATTGTCAAAAGTAAAAGGCAAAATTTCTTGTTTGAGCAATTTCTGTCAATGGCTTTTAAAGCAAGATAAAAGGTTAATTACTTTCCTATGATTATAAGATTGATGACGCTGCAGCTTTTTTATATATATTCTAAGAATGTGAATTGTTAAATTTCTAGGTCTTATGATTTTGATTCACCTTGTCTGGTTTTTAGTAAATTTAATGAATTACAGGTGAAATCACTACTGTCGTCTTGTAGCCAAGATTTTAGCATTGGTGGGAACTATTATTACAAGATTTCATCAAGACGGATTCGTCAGAAGGAGGTAAGAACTTTTTTGTAAAATTTAGATTTAAGTGTTGTTAGGCAACTGCACTACTTTAATTTGTGATAGGAAGCCAGTTTAGTTGGTTTTTGTGATGGTTTATCATTTAAGTATAGATAAATACACCCAGAAAATGGACCATTTCCAAGTGTTTCGTATGGGATGCTGTTGTTCACGGTTATCTTCTGGGTGTCTCATGTGTGAGACATAATGCACTGGACCTTGTTGACATCTGTTATGTCTACATTGATATTTCTGAGACTATTTCTTATTGCACATGTAGCCACAAATTTCATCATAAGGTCACATAAACACCACCCGGAAAGTAGGTTATATGATGGAACTGTTGCTAGAAAGGCCGTGATGAAAATCTTGGAATTTTCCTTGTAAAAAATTATTAACCTCTTTTTCTTACAGGTACAGATAATTCCATGGGTGATCAGTGACAGCAACTACGTCCGTTGTCCATCATATCAACTGGATCCTGCAAAGACTGTGTTTGTTGGTGCACTGCATGGAATGTTGAGTGCAGAGGGGTTGGCTAACATCATGAATGACTTGTTTGGAGGAGTTGTGTATTCAGGTATATTATATGAAATTATCCTTTTGTGTGACAATTTGTTTTAAATTTGGCCAAGTGAACCATTCAGTCAAAATCTAGCTTCGTACAAAGAAAAAAGTTAGTCGTATATAATTTGTATGACTGAAATAGTTACTATTAGTAAGATCAACCAAACTCACTGCTGTCATTGAGGGAATAGAGCCTTCCAGAATAGGGTTGAAGTCTCACTAGCTTTGTATACTGAAGTAATGTATGGTAGATCAAAAATCCATGTTTCTGATAATTCATTTTAGCTGACTGTGCCTGATGTGTAAAAGCTGTTATCATATTCATGTCAAGTTGTTTCCATACCATTCTGAGTTGTGCATGGTCATCTGCTTGAGTAAAAAATAAGGTGCAGGAAATTTACCACTTTCTTTGGTTTTGGCTGCATCATGAACAGTGTTCCAGGAAATGAGGCTTTTTAATCCTGCTTAAGAGGAATTCCTGTAATAATTTCATTTAGAGCCAGACAAATAACCCACTTCAGCACACGCTGTTAAGAGCAGGCTCTGTGTGTGTGTGTGTGTGTGTGTGTGTGTGTGTGTGTGTGTGTGTGTACGTGTGTGTGTGTACGTGTGTGTGTACGTGTGTGTGTGTGTACGTGTGTGTGTGTGTACGTGTGTGTGTGTGTACGTGTGTGTGTGTACGTGTGTGTGTGTGTACGTGTGTGTGTGTGTACGTGTGTGTGTGTGTACGTGTGTGTGTGTGTACGTGTGTGTGTGTGTACGTGTGTGTGTGTGTGTGTACGTGTGTGTGTGTGTGTGTACGTGTGTGTGTGTGTACGTGTGTGTGTGTGTACGTGTGTGTGTGTGTGTACGTGTGTGTGTGTGTACGTGTGTGTGTGTGTACGTGTGTGTACGTGTACGTGTACGTGTACGTGTGTACGTGTGTGTGTGTACGTGTGTGTGTGTGTACGTGTGTGTGTGTGTACGTGTACGTGTGTACGTGTACGTGTACGTGTGTACGTGTACGTGTGTACGTGTGTGTGTACGTGTGTGTGTACGTGTACGTGTACGTGTGTGTACGTGTACGTGTACGTGTGTGTACGTGTACGTGTACGTGTGTGTACGTGTACGTGTACGTGTGTGTACGTGTACGTGTGTGTACGTGTACGTGTACGTGTACGTGTACGTGTACGTGTGTGTGTGTGTACGTGTACGTGTACGTGTGTGTGTGTGTGTACGTGTACGTGTGTGTGTGTGTGTACGTGTGTGTGTGTGTGTGTGTACGTGTACGTGTGTGTGTGTGTGTACGTGTGTGTGTGTGTGTATGTGTACATGTGTGTGTGTGTACGTGTGTGTGTGTGTGTACGTGTGTGTGTGTGTGTACGTGTACATGTGTGTGTGTGTACGTGTGTGTGTGTGTGTGTACGTGTGTGTGTGTGTGTGTGTGTACGTGTGTGTGTGTGTGTGTGTACGTGTGTGTGTGTGTGTGTGTGTACGTGTGTGTGTGTGTGTGTGTGTACGTGTGTGTGTGTGTGTGTGTACGTGTGTGTGTGTGTGTGTGTACGTGTGTGTGTGTGTGTGTGTGTGTGTGTACGTGTGTGTGTGTGTGTGTGTACGTGTGTGTGTGTGTGTACGTGTACGTGTACGTGTACGTGTGTGTGTGTGTGTGTGTACGTGTACGTGTGTGTGTGTGTACGTGTACGTGTACGTGTACGTGTGTGTGTGTGTACGTGTACGTGTACGTGTACGTGTGTGTACGTGTACGTGTGTGTACGTGTATGTGTGTGTGTGTGTGTGTGTGTACGTGTACGTGTACGTGTGTGTGTGTGTGTGTACGTGTATGTACATGTATGTCCATGTGTGGGAGGGAGGGAGTAGATGGTTTCAGTAGGATAAGATCAGTAGCTAAAATTTGGAGGAACAGGGTGGCTAAAGATAGAAATAAAAAGCCATAGTTGCTGAAAAGACATGGCTCGGTACATTTGAATTAATCCAATTGGCACAGAAGGCAAGAATATATTCTGTGGCCACTGTAATACAAGTTTATTGACTTGACACACAGATAGCTCTACAAGTGCTTAGTCACCAAGGTGTGAGGTCATAGTCCTGTCTCTCTCTTGTTTACCCTTTTTCTTGAATTTTGAAAAATACTTTTTGTAATCATTGTTTTTAACATTACCAAGACTTTAATAACAATTAATAATCATGTCATCAATAGGAATAACCATATCAATATCAATAGTATTAGAGAGAAAAACAAAATTCACAAACTACAGGAGACCTTTCATAAATGTGTGATGTTTGGGTTAACTTTCACTACTAACCTGACAAGTCAATTTTCCCATTTTCTGAATTTTTAGTTATGGAGTTAATGTTCTTGTGAAGTGCATTTTGTGGGTGAGCCAAGTTTTAATTCATAAGATACTATTTGTGGTATACTAAACAATGAGTGTCCTACAAATATGGAAAAAATAATAATAATTAGAGGACTGTGACATTTACAGTTTTATTTAGAGGTAAAACTATAAGAATAGCATCCTTCTGTTCCAGGAATAGATACAGACAAGCACAAATACCCAATAGGGTCTGGCAGAGTCACCTTTAACAATGTGCAGTCGTACAGAAAGGCAGTGAGAGCAGCATTCATTGAGATAAAGACACCCAAGTTTACCAAGAAGGTAACTTTTAAATCTAGATCATTTTATTGTATGTATAAATGTGATTAAGTGTTGGATAAAAATTTGATACTATCTAGGTTTCTATTTCAGGTACAGGTGGATCCTTATCTGGCTGACTCTCTCTGTCAGCTGTGTCAGATGCAGCAAGGACCATACTTCTGTCGAGATGAGAATTGCTTCAAGTATTTCTGTCGATCATGTTGGCAGCTCACTCATCCAATGGATGCCCATGGTGGCCACAAGCCTCTCATGAGGAACTCCAAGCTCCGCACACAAACCACTCTTAGCCGAGTTATTTAAACTAATGTTTATATTCTGATGATAATACCATCTAATTTTAGTTCAAAATATTTGGCGATTTGTGTATTCATGGTCCATGTCCACTCATATGTTGAGAGGTTAATGAAAAGGGTGTATATTTTGTGGTGTAGAGGTGTGTGTTTTAAGAGACTGTACCATGACTAAGGTGTGAAATTTTTGTATGGACTTGAGGTGGTTGACCTATTGCCATATATCAGGTTGATTGTGGTGTTGGTTTGATGTTTTACCGTGTGATTGTCATTATGATACTCTATGAAGAGGGCTTTCATAGTAGGTTGAATAGGATTCCATCAGCTTTTATTGGCTTGCAAAATGTGGTTTTATTACTGCCTAAAATACTATTAATAACACAAGTGTTTTTAATATATCATGCTGAAAGCTGTATGGAAGAAGCCAGTCAGCTTCATATTATTTTAAGATGGAACTTGCCATTTTTAGTGCAGCACACCTAAGCACTTTTATATTTTTTTTTGTTTTTATTTGTGTCGGTCACAAAAGCAAAGGAGAAAGTATCCATTAGGTTTTTATTTGGTGTTTCAAGCCATGGTAAGAAATTTTCAAGTTTTGAATTCTGCTTATTTGAACATAGGATTCTTTTTGTATGTGGGCCAGTTTTAGAGAACTAGTTTACATTTAGTCTTATTTTATGGAATTTACAAATATTTTGATGGGCCCATTGACAATAGCATTGAGTTTGGTCCAGGTTTTCTATCTTAAATTGACTTTCACCTCCCCAAGGTCTTAACGGCAAAGGAATGAATTCACCCCAAAGTGTGTTGTCCTCGCATTCTTTTTTAAAACGTGGGGGCGTGGAGGAAAGTGAGTCTAAGCCCTGTAAGAGTGCTTTGTTTCCTTCCCTCCTCTTGTAGGGAAAGTGATAAATTGTCTTTTGTTTGTGTATCATGACTTGGTGATTGTCGTAGATTTTTAAATCGCTCATAATTTGTAATCCGCTGGAGCAGTTGGGCCTCCGTGCAGTGGGTGACCATTTTAATGTTTGGTTACGAAATAATTGCCTAGTAGGAAGGTGAGGGTGTCTTCTTGTTAGTTTACTTTTTTGCACAGTACTACTAACTTTTACTTAATTTTCTAATAGCTTGGGTTTTTGGAGGGAAGGAATTCCTAACATTGGCAGGTCTGCCAAAACATTTAAGTGATTGTTTTGAGTTTAAATCCACCATTGCCTACATCTTGTGGTTTATTGAATTTTTAGATATTGATAGTAGAAACATTTACTTTATAAGAAGTGGTCATTTTACATGTGGATGAAGGTCAGTAATATCCGTGAGTTAATCATTAGAAAAATGGACTGGTATCTAGGTGAATTGTTGCTTTTTAATTTACATGGGAATTGTATAACATGTTGCTAAACATGTATCTTTTACTACTATGGAAGGTTAATTTCGTTGATGACTTGGCTTTGTTGAAGGATCTCTCTTTTTGGAATTGCCACTGATTAAGCAGTAAAAGTTTACTGTGAAAATGCAAGGAAGTTTTCACAATTTCACAGTATTAAGATCATGTGATAATTTGTGGTTTCCTAGATATGTATATTTTTTTGAAGTACACGTTCTGTTAATCAAATTTCATTTTGTTACTTTTGTATAAGAATATATTCAAGGAAATTGAAGTTTCTTTATCCTTTAATTCTGTATATCCAGTTTACAGATTTTCTAAATGCCTACTGAAAGTTAAATAAGTACAAGGAAGGAATTATCTTGTTTACTTGTCTTAATACATTCACCAGAAGATAACTATGCTCCAGTTAAACTGCAAATGCTTTCATATATTTTTGCCCCAGAAACCAGTATAGCATACAGCCTGTATTCTACAAAACACAAATTTGCATGGGACACAAAGGCTTTTGAACACCAGTTGCCACATAATTAGGTATATACATTGGGAAAAATAGAACATGAAGGATTTTTTTTTTTTTTTTTTTTTAAGACCATGCCCTCTAATTTCTTGCCCATTGTTGTTGGGGGAGACTGCGACCCAATGCTGGAGAACTCCCCCTGCCTTGGGACTAATTTTGCATGGTATTTTTTTCCCCCTCTTGCTTTTTCGTTTGTCCCTCCCCAACTCCTACTACTCACTTCCTAAGGTGTGAGAGCCGTGTTGAAAGGAGAAAAGGCTGAATTTGTCAGTCCTGAATGGCCTGAGGGAGCCATGGGCACGGTATTCTCATTTTAGTTGCTTAGCCCTAACCCCTCAATGGGACCATGAGGGGTGGACTGTTTTTATCCCCAACATAATCCAGGCTTCCCATGGCCAGTAATGAAAATATATCTCCACTATTAGGGGCAATGAGGCTTGCCCCTTTATCAAATAGCCCCAACGAAGTAAACCCACCTGATTCCCTGACCCCAGGCTCTCCTTTGACCACGGCTCCGAACACTGCAATAACTACCCCTTCACCAATGCCTACTAGTACAGTAGCCAATAATCAACCCTCAAGGAACATTTCCACTCTCCCAGCATGCCCAACTTCAACACCTCTACCCCCACAACCTCCAACATCAACCACCCCATCCTTCCTTATTAATACCTTACAGCCTTATAGCCCACCTCTCCATAACACTACCTCCATCAACACTACTCCATCCTCATCACGCCCTCGCCCTTCTACCACCCCTATCTCTAAAACAATCTTGAATACTCTCTTCAGTGCAGCCAAATGGGACCGATTTTTCGTGATCCCTCCCACAGCTCCCTACTCTGACAACACCCTTCTCTTCCAACAATGCCTCCAAAAACAAGTAGGTAAAGTCTCTTTCCGTAGCCGACCCGACCGCTCCCGTCTTGTAACAGTAACATCCGAAAACCAAGCCATAGCACTAACAAAACTAACTGACCAATATGGTAACCCCATCCAACCCTAAATACTTGCACCGGAACAGTCTCAATCTCACCAGCAAATTGCCCAATCTATGACAAAGATTGGTCAGATTGTGGAGAAGATCTACTTGCCTGTCTCACAGACTACGATGCAACATCAGTACAATGCTACTCCATCCCCCCCAGAGGTCATCGAAAGAAACCCACTAACATAGCCAAAATTACCTTCCGTAGACATGACCTTCCCTTTAACGTCTACATAGGAGGAGAATCCCTCCCTGTTCGTCCATACCAACCTCCTCCACGTCAGTGCCAAAATTGTTGGCGTCTAGGACACCCAGCCAAACACTGCCGTTCCACAGCCAGATGCCCATTATGTGCCCAACCTGGCCATACCCGATCTAACTGCTCTGCACAATCACGCACATGTGCCAACTGTGGCGGCCCCCATACTGTATTTTATAGGGGCTGTCCCACCTACAAATTTGAATCTGAGGTAGCAACTCTCAGATTCAAACTCGGACTCACACTGCGTGAAGCCAGACAGGAAGCACGTCGACGTGGATTCTCTTACTCCTTACTCCAGTAATACTGCTCATTCTAACACTTCTCCTAAACCCACCCCTCCTACATCTAACCCCCCCACTTCTACCTCCTACCTTCCCCAGTCTAACTCTTTTGCTATCCTAAATCCAGAAACTCCAATCTCTAATACAGATACTCCAATCACCACTACAACCCCAACACCTTCCCCTCTCCCTCCTCGCACTCCCCGTAACAGACAGAACAAACGTTCCACCCCCTCTTCCCCTACCACACAATCACCTCCACCATCCTTTGCCCCTACTCTTGAAACACCAGTCCTCTCTTCCCCCCCTCACAAGAAATCCTTTATCCCCCACAACCCCCCAACCAACTCCTCAGAAGAAACTATTGAAAATATTCAAGATTACTTAATGCAAACTGACACTCAACCTACAACCCCTGCTCCTTCCACACTCCAAGTAACTGCTGATATCCATCCCCCTCCTAACGATATCCCCCCTACACCCTATCCTCCTACCCCCTCCCAACACAGCCCATCCCCCCCGACCCCGACCCCAACCCAGCCCACATTAACCCTCCCACCATCCCCTCTATCCCTTCCACTCCCTCCTGGATACACACGTGAATCCCTTATGTCACAAGTATCCCCTTCCTCAGACCCTCCATCTCCTAATACCCCTCCTGATAGAACACCAACTCCCACATCTCTCCCATCTCAAACCTCTCAGTCCTTATCCCACCCTCTAGCTGATTCCCCCTCAAAGTCTCCAACACGTACTGCAATCTATATCACTAAATCAACGAAAGTATAACTATCCTTCATTGGAATATTCGCGGTTTCCGCTCCCACAGACCTGACCTTCGTCATATCCTTTCCTCTTATAACCCATCTATTGTATGCCTTCAAGAAACCTTTCTTACACATCCTCCAATACCAATCCCCAATTATCATTTTGTCTCTTCCCCACATTCCCTTTATGTCTCGTCTATACTTATCAATCAGAAAACACCTTATGTCACACCACCCTTTCAAACCAATGTCCCTTGTACAGTTATTCGTATCTTCCTTCATCGTTGGATCACAGTGATTTCAGTCTACTTCTCCCCTTCCCACCCCATTGACTTTGTTGCTTTTGAAAATCTAATTTCCCAACTTCAACCACCTTTCCTCATAGTAGGCGACTTTAACTGCCGCCACACTCTTTGGGGTGATTCTATTACCAACTCCCGAGGCCGATCTCTAGAGCGCTTCCTCTCCACAGCTGACCTTACTATTCTAAATTCAGATCGCCCCACACACTTTGATACACGCACGCAATCTTTTTCATGCATTGACCTCTCTCTATGCTCCCCTTCTCTTCATATAGATTTCCACTGGTCAGTCTTAGACCACTTTCCCTATAGTGACCACTTTCCAGTTCTCCTTTCTCCTACTTCATACGTACCACTTCCTAACTCCCCACGCTGGTGCTTTGATAGAGCCGACTGGCATACTTTCACTTCGCTCTCTGCTATTCATACCCCTCCATCCTCCCTCACCTCCATTTCAGAAATGATACAATGTTTCACAACTACAGTCTTAAGAGCTGCACATACAGCTATCCCTCGAACCTCAAGACCATATACCTCTAAATGTGTTCCATGGTGGAATTCTGATTGCACTAAAGCACTTCGCTTAAAATGTGCAGCCTGGAACAGTTACCGCTACAAGAGAGGTACTCCAAATCAACTATCAGCCCTTATCTCCTTTAAAAGAGCATCTGCCTGTCTTCGTCGTACAATCCGGAATAGTAAAACAAATAGCTGGCGAAATTATGTTTCATCAATTACATCCTCTACATCTATCTCAAATGTATGGCGACGAATCCATAAACTATCAGGCAAACATCCCCCCCATCCTGCCCCCGTCCTCCATATTCGAGATACCCTCATTTCTGATCCTCTCCAAGTTGCTAATGAACTGGGTGATTATTTCAGCCAGGTCAGTAGTGGCTCTCACCTTTCTCCACACTTCTCTTCTATCAAGACCACCAGAGAACGTACCCCCATTACCTTCACCCCATCCTCCGTTGAGTCCTATAATGCCCCATTTTCTTCCTCTGAACTCATTACTGCCCTACAATCGTGCCGCAACACTCATGAAGGCCCTGACGGTATTCACTACCGTATGCTCCGGCAACTCCCATCTTCCTCCTTATCCTTCCTATTAAAAATTTACAACCACATATGGACATCAGGAAATTTTCCTTCTAATTGGCGAGAAGCTCTTATCCTTCCCTTCCTGAAACCCAATAAATCGGGTACCCTCCCTCAAGACTATCGCCCCATCGCACTAACTAGCTGCTTGTGCAAACTATTAGAGCGAATGGTGAACTTCCGCTTAATGTGGTATCTTGAATCTCACAATCTTCTCTCCCCTTCCCAATTCGGTTTTCGCCGTGCCAGAAGCACAGCTGACCCCCTTTCTCATTTTGAGACATATATTACATCCGCATTTGCACGCCATGAATCCATACTAGCTATATTTTTTGATCTAGAAAAAGCATATGATACGACATGGCGGTACCATATTCTCCAACAATTGTCCTCTCTAGGCATACGTGGAAACATGGGTGTCTTCATAAAGTCTTTCCTCTCCCAACGCACTTTTCAGGTCAAAATTGTTTCTGCCACATCATCTTTCTTTCCTCAAATCGAAGGTGTCCCACAAGGCAGTGTGCTCAGTACCACTTTATTCCTTCTAGCTGTTAATGATATTGTCTCAGTTTTACCACCAGGAGCCCGGTCATCACTATATGTTGATGATTTAACCATCAATGCATCTGACACATCCATACCAAATCTCTACCAATTTCTTCAATCTGCAATCTCATCAGTATCTTCCTGGGCCACAAACCATGGCTTCCGCTTTTCTATCTCTAAATCTTTCTCCATCCTTTTCTCTCGCTCACGTGTAAATCCCCTACCCCCACTCTTCCTATATGGCACTCCACTCCAATGCCGTTCCTCTGGCAAATTCCTAGGCGTCATTTTTGACTCCAAACTGACCTGGCGAGACCATATTCTACACATTAAAGAAAAAGCTCTCCGCCGCCTTCGAATTTTAAAAACTCTATCCCATATATCATGGGGCTCAGATCGCAAAACTCTCCTTCATCTTCATGTTACTTTGATCCTCTCCACTCTTGATTATGGATGCCATATCTACTCCTCTGCCTCAACTTCTCTCCTTGCCCATCTT